CCCACACCCACACCTACACCCACACCCACACCTACACCCACACCCACCAACACCCTAGGTTATTTGTTTTTGAATATTGTTTTTCGTTTATTTTCTATCATATGAATAGGAATATGTTTATGGTTGATGGCTTTTGAATATTGTTTTTTTGGTTTATTTTCTATCATATGAATAGGAATTTTTTCGTAGGTATTCGTTTTTCAATGTTGTTATGGCTACATAAGTCTTAATATTTATCGAAAGTCTCGATACTATTTGTACCAAGCATAACGTCAATGCAAAAAAATGCATTAAGTGGTGTTCAGCTTTGCATGGATGAACATGCATGAGTTTTCAATGCATTGTAATGGATTAAGTTTGTAATGGACGGAATTACATGATAATGCAACCTATTTCATACATTATAATGCCTTGAAAGCTTCATGCATTGCAATCAATGACACTAAATAATGCGTTGAAATGCATGAAATAGGTTGCATTATCATGTAATTGCATCCATTGCTTTTCTATAGAAAAATAATACATTGCAATGTACATTATTTTGGAAAAATGGCTACATGGGTCACAACTTCATAATCGAATCAAATTTAATATTTTTATTTGACTAATATTTAAGAATATATTCATTAATTAAATATTCATTTTGTATTGTGTCACGAAAAACGAACTTGACAATTATAGAAGATATTATTATTATCATGTTAATTGATGTTGTCCAAAAGTTGTAAGTGAAAAAGATAAATTTTCCACTCTCCTTAGTCCTCCAATATATGGGGTTAGTTCGATTTTCGGTGGGAGTTCTCTTGCATATATTTTGTTTCGGAGTCAAGCTTTTGTTTAATGATGAATTTGAACTTCAAGCAAATTTTTTATAAACTCATTGTGTCTAATACAAATAATTCGGATGCATTGTATACAATGATATTTTACATATGATTGCAATGATTTACGCTAAAGAACTGACTTAGTTTCAATGTTGCTAATTAATCTCATTAACATGATACTAACTAGAGCAATGTATTCTTTTTTCTTGCGAAAATAAACATTTTTCTTTCATTGCTCTCACACTAGAATTAGAGCAGTATATATGTCACTGAGTTTTTTATTTAGAAGTGTTTCTCGAGAATAAATGTAGGTAAAAATGATCAATATTTGTAATTGTAAAGTTTATCATTTATACATAGTTGGATGACAGCAGTTAGAGCACATTAAAAAAGAATGATGCAAAAGAGAAAAATTACTGTCTTCTCTCATTCTCGTTTATTAATCATTGTAGTGATGAAGTTTAAGAATCTATGTATAGTGGTCATATGAAATTGTGCAATTAAACAACGTCATCAATAACAATTCAAATTGAAAAACACATTATATTACTCATTTGATGACGACACTCAAATCCATGTTAAAAGAAAAAGATCGATATGACGTCACAACATACACGTAGGAGTCCTGTATATATATAATAGTTTACAGGAAAGAAAACTTTCAATCATAATACGAGAAATGTCTGTGTTAAAAGCGTTAGTTGTTTCTTTCAACCATACTCTAATTAAAGTAGGTTATAATTCTATACATGATAATATTGTTTTATAATAATATTATAGAAAATCGACGAAAACTATGAACAATCAATAATAATACCGGTTAATTATAATAGTAATCAATCATTTTCTCCTTCATTATTCGATGATAATCAACTATTACCAGAACAATCTCAAATAATCCATACTACTTTAGAAAAAACAAATTCACAGTCATTGACATCGTGTAATAACAGACCATTATTTTACATTGACTACAAAATTCATGAAGGTTTTACATTGAATGAAGAGATACTTATTAAAAACGCATTAGAAATCATTGCTAATCGATTATTCAAACCAGAAATCTTACAAAACATGTATAATATTTGTGGTACATCAGGTGAATTACTCGGACCAAGAGTATGGTCTCGTTCACAACTAAGAAACGATACAAACTATCATGGTATGTATGATTTATTACGTTTTCAATTGATGTGTCTCAAAGTAAAAAGTGAAAATGGTCAATTTCCTACTATTCATATATATCCAATGTATGAAAAAAATGAAACACAAGCTGAAGGAACTGTTGGATGTATTTCATGTATTTCACATGGATCAACATTTTCAATTGAAGGAAATTTTCAAGTTAAATTAAATAGATATAATCTTGATGCATTGAATAAAAGTATTGAGAATGTAGTATATTGGGCGGGAACTATTGTACATGAAATGCTTCATAATTTAGGTCATAAGCATAAAAATAATGATTATAGTAATCAATGGCAAATTAATATATTTGAAAATTGTTTCATTTATAATGGAAATTATTCAATATGACAATCAATAAATTTTATTTTAAAAATAATAAAAGAAACAATCGAGATTTTTAATCATTTCAAATGTTTCTGTTTTATTGTACAAAATTCAGTTGAAATTAATTGCAACTCTGTTTTTTTATATTCATCTATATTTTTTTTTCAATATAAAAATGACAATTTTTTTCAAATAAGAGACAGATCTATATAACCTCCAGTCATATCATGAACATATACTGAAGAGTCTTCAATTTTTCGAAATTTTTTACTATATCTATGACAATATATGAACAGTATTCAAAACTCTACTAGCTGTCATTCAAACAATACTTACATGTTGAATATCTGAGAAATAAGTGTGGAGAACATATAGATAATTAATAGAGTAATGAGATGAATACACCAAAATATCTCAAAACACCTCACCTCGTCATCATACACAGATATAATA